TTCGTACGACTATCTTTGCACGTTAAATAAAGAAAAACGTTATTTAACGTAAAAATGTATTTCTAGAAAATTCTTTCGTTAAATAACGTTTTGTGAAATACGTAAAATAACGTTAGACGTTAAAAAAATCGTAACGTTATTTACCGTCTAAAACGTGTTTCTAAAAAATTCGTAACGTTAAATTACGATTAAAGTTATGCGTTAAATAACGTGCACAGTATGGTACTCGTTAGAAGTCGTCTGCGAACTTTTAATTCCAAAATGGATGCATTGATTTTATTGCAAAATGCATACCGCCGTAATTTACAACGAGAGAGAGTTTTTCGCGACAGGTCGAACGATCTTGAAACTCTCGATGACAACCAACTCATTTCGAGGTACCGGTTTCCACGAGCAGTTATCTTGGAAATAATTGGGATGGTATAAGTTCTATAAATTAGCACGCGCATATCGAGTCACGTAGGCCTACTTACCAAAATACAGCATTTGATGCATGTGCAATGATTATTACATAATATACAAACACCTATCGGTCAATCATTTTATAAATTTATAGTAAAATATTCATTACCCGATTTCATCTCATGTAGATTAAAGATGAGTTTCCTTATTTACCGATCAAGAATGTTCAAAAAGTTTGTATATTCAGACTGTAGGCCTTCACACATGAATATTTATGACTAGATATAACTCCAAAATATATAAATTTTCCTTAATGTCTTTTGATTGCTCGTAGTCTGTATCTGCGCACATCTTTTTCAGGTTTTGGTGACTTTGCGTTTCCTCGCAAAAGGAGATTTCCAGTCCGAAACTGAAGATATCCATGGAGTCACCAAACCTTCAGTTTCACGATCAATATCAGCCGTTTGTAATTCCATCTGTAACAATATGGACAATATTTTATTTCCAAATGATACAGAAGAATTGAGAAGGATCAAGGAGGAATTTTATGACATGGCACAGGTACCAAATGTTGTAGGCGCCATTGATGGTACTCTAATTCCTATCCAAGGAATGTCATCTGATGATGAACACGTTTACGTGTGCAAGAAGGGATTCCATTCCTTGAACATCCAAGCTGTAGTAGATGCTAAAATGAGGCAATGATAAGAGAATTATTGTATATTTACAGAATACAATCGTTATAATTTTTGTTCAAATTCAGTTGCTATGGCTAATCCAAACACTTTTGATTTTGTCGGGGGCATAAAATTTTAAAAGATGTTAAAAATATGGTATCACCGATGTATAAATCATTTAATATATTACATTTACCTGGTACAGCTCTATATTAGT